CTTACCACAGTGTCTCCAGTTTACAGTGAGGATTCTGTAGTACATCAGAAAGCAGCTTCACTGAATCTCCTAGTTTATTCCATGACAGATGCAGTTCTCTCAGGTGTGAGGGGTTTGATCTCAGAGCTGAAGCCAGAGCAGCACAACCTTCATCTGTGACACCACAATTAAACAACCTGTAGAGAACAATGACACACTCTTCACTCTCCAGGTCAGATCAGTTTAGCTGTGAATCCATTATTAAAGAGAAAGTACAAACATAAAGCACAAATCAATGTTTGATGGATCATTGGACTGAGGTCTAAAATGTCACAGAACACAAAACATAATCACAAAACATCCAAAGTCTCATTCAAGCAGGATAAATAATATTTCTTATAAATATTTATTAAATGCACTATACGTCTGTTTTATGCAAAATCTTACCTTAGTTTCTTCAGTTTACAGTAAGGATCCTTCAGTCCAGCAGACAGCAGTTTCATGCTAGAATCTCCTAGTTTATTCCCAGTCAGATCCAGTTCTCTCAGGTGTGAGGGGTTTGATCTCAGAGCTGAAGCCAGAGCAGCACAACCTTCATCTGTGACGCCACAATCACTCAACCTGTAGAGAGATGAAAATCATACATGTGAAACACTATCAAACAACTTGCTGCAATGAACAACAGCTTGCAGTTCCAATATAATTAAATTAATTAATACAATGAGAAAAAAAAACTGCACATGCATTTCTTAATTTCAGCATTTCAAAATTTCATGGGCAATTTTATAAACACAAAAAAGTAAAGACTGGATTAAATCAACATTAATCTATTAACAGAGTAAAATTTTAATTGTATGCAATTTAAATTAAATGTAATTCTAACTGGTTTAACATGATTAAAACCAATCTGCATGCTGGCCTGTGAACTGGCAGAAGGTTCATGTGTTTTAATATAAGTTTGAGTCTAGCTTTTCGTCATTCCAGATGTCCTTCTGTAAAATGTAAAAAAACCTCAAAATATATGAATAACATGCAATTATAATTAATAAACTACCCGGTAGACAATTGTTGTCTTCAAAAGTGTGTGTTCAAGTATGCTGCTGTTTTGCTCGATTAACTGATTCATCATATTTTAGGAGATTTGAGCTGCTTCTCCACTTGTTTGGTTGCTCTCGATTTCTGCTTGGGCTTTTATGCCAGGTAAGAGATATTTAAATTCCTACATGTTAATTTTAACATTTTTTTATTTGAAAACCTGAATTATTTATATGTGACTTCTCTGACTTTGTTTGAATGCCTGAAGAAATCTTTTAATTATGCAAAAATCACTTTTATAAGCTGTTTGAACAGTTGAGTGGCCGCAGAGTGAGAAAACAATCAGCCTATAATGGTAAAAATCCACCATCTCTCAGAACAAGCAATTTCAGATTCTCCCTCTTTAAGGGGAAAAAGTCCCGCCCATTTGTGATGATCTCTGCCCTATTAGCATAAACACAGCCCTGAGTGAGAGGCAGCAATCTGCCATAATGCTCCGGTTACTAATGTAACCTCGGTTACCTGAGATAAGGGAACGAGCGTTGCGTATAACACATTAGGGAAAAACTGTTTTACTCTGTACTGAAGCTTGATTTGTTCACGTTTGTGTAGCTACACAAACCAGTTCATCAGATCATTCGACTGAAGCAACAGTCATCGATTTGCGTGCAGCTTATAGGGCCGCAAGTAACGCAATGCTCGTTCCCTTATCTCAGGGAACCGAGGTAACGTTAGTAAATGGAGCGTTCACTTTCTAACGGTCTCTCCCATTGCATGCAACACATTGAAGAACACATCAATTCACGCCATGCTATGAGCAGATACAGAACAACCTGTCCTGCGACTCCAGTCTCGGAGCACTAGACAAGGACTCCCAAGAACATGAGCACACTGTGCTATAAGCTAGTAGCTGATAAGCACAAATATAACCAACTTCGCCCAAGGGGGAAGAATGGCAGTCTAAACAGAGAGAATCCATGCCTATAGTGCAGGTACATTCAAATGATAAAATCTGGTAAATGTGGATGGCGATGACCAGCCGGCAGCCGCACAAATCTCACCAATAGAAATCCCGCTGGACCATGCCCAGGAGGAGGCCATCCCCCTTCTGGAGTGGGCCCTCACACCTATAGGGCATTGTAAACTTTCTGAGGCGTAAGCCAAGGCTATCGCATCTACAATCCAGCGAGAGAGTAGCTGCTTTGTGGCCGGCAGTCCCTTCTGGCGGTCTGCAAAGCAAACAAAGAGCTGCTCTGACTGCCTAAACTAGAGCGCTCTAAATACACTTTCACTGTCCTTACTGGACAGAGCAAGTTAGTGCCCTGCTCACCATATGTAACGGGGAGCGCCAGCAGGGTGATCAGCTGTGCTCTGAACAGAGTCGAGAGCACTTTCGGAACATAACCATGTCTTGGTTTGTGCTAACTGACAAGCGCTTGCAAGCCACTCACTTAACCGATGCTAAGGCTAGGAGGAGGGCCGTTTCAAGCGATAGGGACCGCAATTCAGCCAAACTGAGCGGCTCAAAGGGGGACCCTCATAGGGCCCACAGGACTATAGATAAGTCCCAGGATGGCACAGCCTGAGGACGAGGAGGGTTCAGCGTCTGAGCGCCTCTCAAGAACTTAACGACCAAGGGGGACCCTCATAGGGCCCACAGGACTATAGATAAGTCCCAGGACGGCACAGCCTGAGGACGAGGAGGGTTCAGCGTCTGAGCGCCTCTCAAGAACTTAACGACCAGGTCGTTCCTGCCAATCGATTGGCCAGCTTTGAGAGAATGGTTCGCTGCGATAGCTGCCACATACACTTTGAGCATGGAAGGGGCATGCCCCTTATCCAAAAGCTCCTGTAAAAAGGTTAGCACGTAGGACATGTTACATGATACTAGGTTCAGACAATGTGCAGAGCACCAGTTAAGGAAGACAGATCATTTTTGGCTGTATAGGTGTCTTGTAGACGGCACTCTCACCTCTAAAATGGTATTGCTTACTCTCGCTGGGAGCTAATTAGGCTCCTGTCGAGGCACCATACATGAATGCTCCACAGGTCTGTCTGGGGATGCCAAATCATGCCTTTCGCCTGTGAGAGAAGATCCCTCCTCAGCAGAATGGGCCACGGGTCTGCTGCTGAAAGCTGCACTAGCTCTGGGAACAAGACCTGGTTTCTCCAGAGTGGGGCAACTAGGGGGTGGGAGCACTTGGTCTCCCTGACCTGCCTGATGACCTGAGGAATCAGGGCGATTGGGGTCTGCTGGATCAGGATGACTTAGGTGTCTCAGGGTCCAGCACTACTCGAGGGCGGGGACCTTGACGCTTCGGGAAGGGAAAGCGTTTCACCGTCCGGGGCGCTGCTGAAGCCTGGGCTAGGACTTCTGCTGCGGCTGTGACTGAGGCTGCGCTGGCTTAGCTGGCTTAGCAGGCTGAGTGGTGGGGGTCTTCTGGCGACTAGCAGTCGCGGAAGCAGAGCACTTGGGGAGGAAGTGACACAGCACTTGTGATGTCTTCTGAGCCTCAAAAAAACGCTCCGTGAACCCGTCCACAATAGGACCGAACAAGCCCTTCAGCGAGATTGGCAAGTCGAGGAAGGCCATTTTCTCAGCGTCCCTGATCTCGGTCAAATTCAGCCAGAGGTGGCGCTCCAACACAACTAAACTGGCCATCGTCATTCTGATCGCCTGCGCCGTTGATTTCGTTGCACGCAGAGCCAGGTCTGTCGCTGTGCGCAGCTCTTTAAAAGCCTCCTGGTGCTGTTGGCCTGACTCGTCCATGCTGCAGAGAAGTTTGGCCTAAAACACTTGGAGGACCGCCATTGTATGCAGTGCTGATTCGACTTAACCGGCCGCTGCATAAGCCCTGTTGGCAATGGCCGAGGTGGTCCTGCAGGGCTTGGAGGGATGCGCTGAATGGGCCTTCAAACCAAGGGCAGATGGTGGGTATAAGTGGGCAGCGACCACCTCTTCCAGAGGGGGAAGCTTGCTTTACCCTCTGCCGTCAGCACCGTCAATGGAAGTGAGAGCCGATGATGTAGAGGGGTTAACCCGGGCCGAATAGGGGGCGCGATACGTCTTAGTGAGCTCTTCGTGAACTGCAGGCAAGAACAGGGCGGGCCACTGACAAGAGGACTGTTGATGACTTCCCGGAAGAAACCACTCGTCAAATAGGCCATGGGCGGTCTCTTCTGAGGCTGACCATTCAAGACCTAAGTCCTCTACAGTCTTAGTACGCCAATGAGTTCGGCGTCTGGCTTCGGCCTCATGGGTTGAGCAGAGGGAGGGGCTTCGAGCTCACGGACATTTGCAACAACGCACGCTGCTCTTTTAGGAAATTTGCTCTTGCTCTTAAGCGCCAGATGGCCATAGGGAAAAAATCTCTGCCAGGGCTCTTCGACGGCGATGAGCAGGTGGAGCTTCTTCCCTCTGCTTCTACTTCTTTGGCTTCCTTGCAGAGTCAGCAAAGAGATGATCCTCGTCACTGAAGGAGAACGGTCTGATAAACGGCGCTCTTAGCCGACTTATATAGTGGTCTAATGGTGGTCATGGTATAAAGCGCCATGGTTTGTGCAGCTACACAAACGTGAACAAATCAGGCTTCAGTACAGAGTAAAACAGGAGTTTTTCCCCGGGAGAGACCGTCAGAAAGGGAACTAGAGATATACAATGTCAGCACCAAAGATGCAATACAAGTGTTGTGTTTTCTGTTGCACCAACGAACACAGAAGTCTCCATATACTCCCTCCATCTGAGCTGCTGAGGACAATGTGGTTAAATTTCCTCATCAAAGAAAATTTACCAGAAAAAAATTGCAAAGTCCCTTTATGTTTATGAATCAATAGCAACGCTTCATGCGCAAACGTCAGCTCCACATATGCACTCTGGGGACATCAGAGACTTATTTTACTAAGATTTATTTTATCTAAGATTACTAAGATACAGGGCTCTTTTTTTCTTAATGTTTTAACAGTGAAGTGATTGTTCTCATTGATACTTACTGAACTGATCTGGATTTGCCTTTCACAAGCTGCTGAAAAGCCACTTTCCCCAGTTTGAGGATCATGTCTTCATCTGTCACCTTCTTCTCATAGTCCTTCTCATGTTTGATGTTGGTCTGAAGGATCAGGAAGTGTGTGTACATTTGAGTGAGAGTCTTGGGAATCTCTCCACTCTCTGCTGGACTCAACATCTTCTCTAGAACAGCGGCTGAGATCCAGCAGAAGACTGGGATGTGGCACATGATGTAAAGGCTCCTTGATGACTTCAGGTGTGAGATGATTGTATTAGCCAGACTCTGATCACTGATTCTCTTCCTGAAGTATTCCTGCTTCTGTGGCTCATTGAAGCCTCGTATCTCTGTCACTCGATGGACACACTCAGAGGGGACGTGATCAGTTGCTGCTGGTCTGGAGGTGATCCAGATGAGAGCAGAAGGAAGCAGATTCCCCACAATGAGGTTCGTCAGCAGCATGTCCACTGATGTCTCTTTGTTTGCATCCCGTAGTGTCTCATTTCTTTGAAAATATAAGGGAAGACGACATTCGTCCAGACCATCAAAGATGAACAACACTTCATATTCATCACTGGATATTTCCATTTCTTTAGTTTCAGGGAAAAAGATATGAAGAAGATCTGAAAGACTGAGTGTTTTGTCCTTCATCAGATTTATTTCTCTGAAAGGAAGTGGAAATATGAGCTGGATGTCCTGATTCTCTTTCCCTTCAGCCCAGTCCAGGATGAACTTCTGCACAGAGACTGTTTTTCCAATGCCAGCGACTCCCTTTGTCAGCACCGTTCTGATGGCTTTTTCTTGTCCAGGTAAAGATCTAAAGATGTCATTGCATTTGATGGCTGTGTCCTCTGTTGCTGCTCTCCTGGATTGTGTCTCAATCTGTCTCACCTCATGCTCATTACTGATCTCTCCACTCTCACTCTCTGTGATGTAGAGCTCTGTGTAGATCTCATTCAGGAGTGTTGGGTTTCCCTGCGTCGCTGTTCCCTCATACAGACGCTCAAACTTCTTCATCAGATTGGATCTAAACGTGTTGAGGGCTTCATGTCTGGAAAATTAAAATACCACATTATTACATGATTTACAGAGTTAAATGTACAGAGCAAAATGTCTTATTTTCTGTGTTAGGAGACACTGAACATATCATAGAGTTTTTACAATGTGTCAGTTATTAATGATGTAAATGAGTAATATGTGATGATGCACTGCATTAAAAAATCCCACAGTTTACCTGACACCAGGATACGTGCTGTCTTGTGGTTGATTCATAGACTGGTCATACTTCTTACACATGGGTGTTGTTACGGATCTGTGTTGCAGGATTGACCTTGAATCAAGAATCAAACACTCTGACATTGGTGACATTTCTCTCATTACCTTAATAACAGTTGTGACATTATTAAAAATGCACCTGCTCAAGGTCAAACTGTAAAATAAAAAAATCACCTTTTAAATAAAGGAAAATAAATAAATAAATACATCTACTCTGTGCTCTATATCTGCTCATTGTCATTAGATTACTGAAGTTCCTACCTAGATGTCTGCTTATACAATTGTTTTATAGTGTTGTTGTATATTTATGACAGTTTAAATTAAAATGTATTACTATAATCAGATATTTTACAAAAAAAAATTAAAATGAGGTTAAACCTTGTGTCATCACTCTTGAAATTAATTAGACGAAGCAAAGAAGCATCACTCCTCATAGACACACAGCTGGGCTCTGGTTCTGATTTTTTTTGGTGAACTGAACTATAACAGAGAGTGTGTGAGAAAATGTTAAAATATCAGATGCAATAAAATAATCACATGATAAAACAAACAAACAAATATTTCAATTCTGTCTGTTAATGAAATGTTGTACCTGATATTTTGGGAATGATCTATAGACTCATCACTCTTCATAAACACACAGCTGGGCTCTGGTTCTGATCTCTTATGAAGAACTGAACTATAAAAAATAAACCTTTGAATTACTGTATTAATATTAACTTTTGACTTTAAAAAATTATGATCTTTTCATCTTTACCATGTTGTATAAATAGACTATAAACTAAAGTTCTTTCATAGACTCTCCGCCATAACTACGGATGCCATAATAACATGAATATGTAATATAAAATAAAAACACAATACCAAGGAGATTGGTAAAATAATCCATGTGACATCAGTGGTTCAACCATAATTTTACGAAGCTACGCGAATACTTTTTGTACGCAAAGAAAACAAAAATATCGACTTTATTCAACAATTCGTCTCCTCCACGTCACCGTAGCGCCATTTTGGAGAGTATCCACTGAACGCAAACGCATTAAAATCAAAGTGTAAATACATGTAGAAAACGTGTGGTGTGGCTGACACAGAATCGCATTTGCAAATTTTTGGGAGAACTAACCGACGATTTTCGATACTCGATGGTATCGAGGCATTTCGGTCGGTGCTTAAAAAGTATCGAACTCGATACCCAGTTCTAGTTGTGAGTGGGGTGGCCAACCCTAGCCCCGCCACCCCTGCGTTAATTGTTAATCATTAAACTTTAAAAATTAATCGCCTGCGTTAACGCGCCAATTTTGACACCACAAAAAAAATAAAAAAATAAATAATAATAATAAAAGAAATATATATATATAATTAATATTAATTGTAACAGTCACCACTGTTTCTTTTGTAGTTCCCCTCCCTGGCACTAGGGGGAGTTGGGGAAGGTAACTATTCTAGCTCACCCTTTATAAGGAAGTGAGTAAGAGGGTAGCCAGGTGCTTTGGCAGGGCTAGGAGCTCACCTTTGTTCAAGCCATTTTGTGAGCCCTATTTTGAGGAACATCATTGTTCTTTCAGCTCAGTGTAAGTGATGTTTTTGGTTTTTGTTGGATGAAGTGTGTGTGTATGTATATGTAATGTTTCATGTTTTGGTCTGATTATTAATTTTGTTTGTATACAGAGGGTTTTCTTTTGTGGGTGTATGGGTTGCACCAACCATCAACCATGAGGTTGGAAAGAGTAAGGACTATTTCATCCTGATTATTCGTTTGGACTGAGTTTTCTTGGGATATACCTTGACGCTTGTTCCGGAATGGGAAATGGATTCTTGATATGGACATTAACCATTGTGATCTTCAACAACAATGTTCATCTGTGATTCTCTACTCCTTTAAGGAGACTGTTATAAGGGAGTGTGGTTTTATGTCTGTATGTGATCAGGTTCAATGGGGTATTTTTCTGTTTCTTTTGGGTTTATATTGTACTGGAGTTGAAAAGGAAAAAAATGTTAAAATATAGTTGGTGGATGATCCCCCTCAGAATTTGTGTGACTCTGGTTGTTTTATTATAGCTGGTGTTACAATGTGTCAGTTATTAATGATGTAAATGAGTAATATGTGATGATGCACTGCATTAAAAAATCCCACAGTTTACCTGACACCAGGATACGTGCTGTCTTGTGGTTGATTCATAGACTGGTCATACTTCTTACACATGGGTGTTGTTACGGATCTGTGTTGCAGGATTGACCTTGAATCAAGAATCAAACACTCTGACATTGGTGACATTTCTCTCATTACCTTAATAACAGTTGTGACATTATTAAAAATGCACCTGCTCAAGGTCAAACTGTAAAATAAAAAAAATCACCTTTTAAATAAAGGTAAATAAATAAATAAATACATCTACTCTGTGCTCTATATCTGCTCATTGTCATTAGATTACTGCAGTTCCTACCTAGATGTCTGCTTATACAATTGTTTTATAGTGTTGTTGTATATTTATGACAGTTTAAATTAAAATGTATTACTATAATCAGATATTTTACAAAAAAAATTAAAACGAGGTTAAACCTTGTGTCATCACTCTTGAAATTAATTAGACGAAGCAAAGAAGCATCACTCCTCATAGACACACAGCTGGGCTCTGGTTCTGATTTTTTTTGGTGAACTGAACTATAACAGAGAGTGTGTGAGAAAATGTTAAAATATCAGATGCAATAAAATAATCACATGATAAAACAAACAAACAACTATTTCAATTCTGTCTGTTAATGAAATGTTGTACCTGATATTTTGGGAATGATCTATAGACTCATCACTCTTCATAAACACACAGCTGGGCTCTGGTTCTGATCTCTTATGAAGAACTGAACTATAAAAAATAAACCTTTGAATTACTGTATTAATATTAACTTTTGACTTTAAAAAATTATGATCTTTTCATCTTTACCATGTTGTATAAATAGACTATAAACTAAAGTTCTTTCATAGACTCTCCGCCATAACTACGGATGCCATAATAACATGAATATGTAATATAAAATAAAAACACAATACCAAGGAGATTGGTAAAATAATCCATGTGACATCAGTGGTTCAACCATAATTTTACGAAGCTACGCGAATACTTTTTGTACGCAAAGAAAACAAAAATATCGACTTTATTCAACAATTCGTCTCCTCCACGTCACCGTAGCGCCATTTTGGAGAGTATCCACTGAACGCAAACGCATTAAAATCAAAGTGTAAATACATGTAGAAAACGTGTGGTGTGGCTGACACAGAATCGCATTTGCAAATTTTTGGGAGAACTAACCCTTGAACATATGTATATGTATCTATGAAATAAGCTACTTAACAAAAATACATATGCAAACTTATGTATAAAAATTAAAAAAATAGGGCTGGACGATATGGCCAAAATTTATAATACAATATATTTCTTAATTTCTGTCGATACGATATAATTTCGAGTCAGAGGAGAACTGGCCCCCCGACTGAGCCTGGTTTCTCCCAAGGTTTTTTCTCCATTCTGTCACCGATGGAGTTTTGGTTCCTTGCCGCTGTCGCCTCTGGCTTGCTTAGTTGGGGACACTTCATTTCCAGCGTTATCGTTGACATGATTGCAAAGATATTATTTAAACTGAGCTGGATGTTGACATCGCTGAATTCAATGATGAACTGTCTTTAACTGAAAAATTTGTGTTTACTATTGTGACACTATTTTCCTAATTAATGCTGTTCAGTTGCTTTGTTACAATCTGTATTGTTAAAAGCGCTATATAAATAAAGGTGACTTGACTTGACTTGACTTGACATTGCAGAGCTAGAGAAAGCTGAGCATTTGTGGTTAAAAAGTGTATAAATATATATTTTTAAAGAAAATGACTGATCGTTTCGCTAGATAAGACCCTTATTCCTCGGCTGGGATCATGTAGAGCTCTTTGAAGCTGCATTAAAACTGCATTTTGGACCTTGAAATCATTGGCCACCACTGAAGCCCACTATATGGACAAAAATCCCGGAATGTTTTCCTCAAAAAGCGCAATTTCTTTGTGACTGAAGAAAGAAAGACATGAACATCTTGGATGAAATGTGGGTGAGTATCTGGAGACGGGCTTATTGAAAATGCAAACTCTTGCTCTGCCAGCAGGAGGTGTGTTTGGAGTGGCAGAAACAGCAGCTTTCCCGGTAACGGCTGTACACTACACAGCGCTGCGCTCATGAACGCTACTTTATTAGATCAAACAAAAGCTGTGTCCAAAAGCCTAGGCAGTTATGAGGCAATAACTTTGCAGGAAGCGTTTTAGCACAAAGGCACCTCATAAAACTGATTTCGAACAGGCTTCTGAAGCAGTGTAACGGTTTAATGATCTACAACAAAATAGAACGAGTTTTGGTGATAACTAAACTAATATTTAATTACTATAATACAGATTTATTGCTAGAAATCACATCAAAAGTGCAAAAAGTTAGTCAGAAGTATACATTTACACACAAACTGACCACCAAACGCATCTTTCAGATGTCATCTTTATTTTTTATCCCAACCGTCACAGAACATTTATGAGACAGTTGTTGCCAGAATTCATTGGTGATTTCAAATATGAAATTTAATCGTAAGCTTGGTGAACAGTTTTGGAGAACTTGATGTTTCCCAATTCAAAGAGATAGGAGCTGCACTTGCATGCCCGAGGGGCATTTTAAAGATCGCCGCCGAGTGGCATGACTTGTCTTAAAGGTACTTTGGATAAAATGAAAATGCCATCGAAACTTCTGAAGACAGTCGGTTCCTTTCAAAGATACATTAATATAAAATACCCGCGACACATTTTGAAAAGTGTAGTGCTCATGTTTATTCAACAAAGTCAACCGCCACAGATAAATCAATGTATATGGGAAACACTGGTAATGTATATTGAAATATCGGTAATGTGTTTAAAAATCATATCACCGTTATTGAAAAAAATAAATAAATCTCGATATATATTGATATTGAATTATTGTCCAGCCCTAGTACAAAATATATAGG